AAAGAAAATAGACATATGGCAAATAAGCTTATGAAAAAAGATTCAGTATCATTAGTCATTAGGGAAATGGAAATTAAAACAACAATTAATACCATTATATGCCTATTAGAATGACAATGATAGAGGGCAACTAGAACTCTCCTACATTCCACACGACTCTGTGTTAAAGAAAAAAAAAAAAAAAAGAACTCTCCTACATTGCTGGCAGTAATGCAAAGTGGTACAGCCTTCCTAGAGAACAGTTAAGCATGTACTTACCATAAGACCCAGCAGTCCCAAGCCTAGGTATTCCCCCTAAACAAATGAAAATCTATGTTTACACACACATATAGAAATACTTAACCTGGCTTTATTCATGATTACCAAAAACTCAAAACAACCTAAACACCTTTCATTAAAGGCAGGAATAAACAACTGTGGGCACATTCATAAATGGAATATTACTCAACAAGAAAAAGCAATGAACTCTTTATACACTGAACACATTATGCTGAGTGAAATAAACTAGTCTTAAAAAGCTACATACTGCATGCAATGGTCTGAATGTTTATCCCCCCTCCCCAAATTCATATGTTGAAGTCCTAACCCCCAAGGTGATGGTTTAGTAGATGAGGCCTTTGGGAGGTACTTAGGTCACAGAGGCAGAACATTCATGAAATGGATTAGCACCCTTTTGAAAGAGGCCTGAAAGACACCCCTTGCCCTTCTGCCATGTGAGACAAGAGTGAATCTCCCAGCACCTTAGTCTTGGACTTCCCAGTCTCCAGAACCATAAGAAATATGTAAAGACTCATATAATTATATGTCCAAAACATCAATTTCATAGTATTATATTTTGTAAATTAATAAATGAATGAAAGTAAAAAAAGAAAGACTATGCCGACAGAAGAGATTTTATTGTGTTGGCAGATTGTAAATTTCAAAATTAAGACAGTCTGCTATATAATTTATTTATTTATCAATCTCTCAGTAATTGGTTATATAAGTGAATAAAACTTGTAGCTACCTTTAAAAAATATGTTATTAAATATCTTTGATAGCTCTCTCTAGAAATATTGGTGCCAAATGTTCCTCAAACTGAACTTAGATGTTAAGGGGCTGGCTGTCTAATGGCTTACAATTGTACCATTTTTAATCCTCCATGACTTCTTTGTTATCATACCTCGCCTAATTTATATGCAAGAGAAGAAATATCTTTTTTGACAATGTATCTGACTTGAAGACAATCCAAACAAGTCAAGTATGTATTAGGGCCATCCACAAGAGAGGTACATTAATCCCTGAATTATACACTAATCACTGGGAGAAGTGGGAAATAGCCCAGAGATAAGGAAACCTCTGTCCTCACTTTCTTCCTCATGCTCTATCCCATATTAGCTTTTCCTCAAAGGAGGAGTTACTAACTAATCTGATTGTCTTTGAGTTAAACTATGACATTGAAAATACATTTGAAATTGTGAGCATATCCCTTTTCTCTTCCTGGAATTAGGCCAAGAAGTATCCTGACATTCCCTTCTGTACTTTTTCATCTCTAATACTAATGGGCAGTGGTCTTTCTTCTTTCTTCCACTCTGATTTTACTATAAATTGATAAGAACACCTTGATATTCCCCCACAAAACCAAGAACACCACATGGAAATTTGAGACATCTCCTCCCAGAACTATTTTTTTCTCCTAAATGGAAGATTTTGCTATACCCACAGATGAAATAACCTGGTCAGTTTAGTATTATGGGGCAAACATATTTCTCCATATTGGTTATGTCACCCTCTCTCCTTTGGCCTCGGTAATATGCATCTAAATTTTCTCATATTGCTATAGAAATTTTCCACCTTTACTTTGGGAGAATCAGAGGAGGAAGAATAGAATGATTTAGGAAAAGGAAGCAAGGGGTCTCATTTTGGCCTTTAGCCTAAGTCATATGCCTCATCTTAGTTTAACCTCTATTTAGGTATATGTGGTACTTACAGAAAAATTAATACATTTATACTTTATACCTCACTTAACTGTTAATGATTTTGTATACCTCCCTTAGAGGAAAGAAGAAATGAGTGATGGGCTTCAGGTAACCAAATCCTTAAAAATTAGTAGTCATGGCCTCTTATCTTTAAGGAGTTTAAAAACCGGTGTGTAAGACATTTAAACCTTCTTAAATGACAAAAGTCCAGGCGTGGTGGCTCATGCCTGTACTCCTAGCACTCTGGGAGGCCAAGGTGGGAGGATCCTTTGAGCTGAGGAGTTTAAGACCAGCCTGAGCAAGAGGGAGACCCTGTCTCTACTTAAAATAGAAAAAATTAGCTGGGCATGGTGGCACGTGCCTGTAGTCCCATCTACTGTGGAAGTTGAGGAGTAGGATTGCTTGAGCCCAGGAGTTTGAGGTTGCTGTGAGTTAGGTTGATGCCATGGCACTCTAGCCCAGGCAACAGAGTGAGACTCTGTCTCAAAAAAAATAAAAAATAGTAAAAAAAAAAACCTTCTTAAATGACAAAGTCTGCTAATAATATAATAAAGAGGAAAAGTGTAGGATTGAATTGTCTGCCCTATGCAAACTGAGAAACCACCCCAAGACCCTGCCCAACTTAAGCCCTGTTTTTTATAATCCATAGACTACCTGAAACAAGAAAATGCAAGGATATGTTATAGCACATGATAAGAGTGAATCTCAATTTGGGTTATACAAAGTCCTATTCCAGTTCTCCCTCTTCCATGTACTTCTGGACTAAAACTTACTTTATAAATCTCTGTCACTTTTCACCTTTGCCTTAAGGTAAGCAGAAAGTCAGGAGAACCATTCAAAGGCAGACCAGTTAGCTGAGGCCAGTCCAGAACTATACCTCAGGGTTCTTGATTCCCTTTGCCAAAAATCCAAAAAGCTCCAACATGCTTTGAAGAGTACAGTACCCGCTGACCCAATTTTGTGAATAGTTCATTGTTAATTTGTTGTTATATTTATCTTGGCTTATATGATACCCTTTTAGTAATTTTGGAGTGATCTTAGAAAATGACCCTATTCCTTCCCTTCCTAGCTGTTAGGGATAGTTGGAGGAAAGGGGTGGGAGAGTATTTCCTTTAACTAGTACAAAACATCTGGATTCCCAGATTATAGAGGTTTAGAAGAGCAATATACGAGAAATGAGGTTGTAGTGCTGAAAATCTGGCAGAGTTCAAAAGCAATTCATTGTTATGGCTTTCTTGCAGAATAATACATACCATTATATGAATTAGAAAATATGATCTGTAGATGAGAAAGTAAGTTGACACAATATTGTTACTACCTTGTTCTAATGGCCCTAAATGCTCATGATTTTTCAAGAGAACCTCAAAATTGAAAACTAATTTTAAAAATGTTTCCCCACAGGTTTCTTCTATATCTGTCCTATCCAGGTCAATTTATGCCATCTCGGACAGTGATGAATAACTTCTACTTTCCCCACAGAGAAAAATACTAATGTAAAACTTGAAAGTAAAATGGAAAAGCAAAATCCTATCCAAATTGTGGGCTACTTAAACCAACTCAGTCCACTCCAGAAATCCCCCACTGTCCATTACCCTTACCCATGATCTTGCTTTTAGAAACTACCTAGTTAACATGACCCAAAGACCCTAACTCTTGGGCAACACCACCCCAACCCTCACCTCAGAAGTGGAATGACATGCTGTGCCTCTAGCTACATTTGGGCTTGGACCAAAAAGCAGCTACTCCTGAAGCTGGTGAGACATTTTGTCAGGAAGAAATGCTCTGGGAGAAAGGAACAGAATGTGAGGCCAGAAAAGCTCCATCTGAGACTGACAAGCTTATCTGGAATCAGCCCCCCTGGGGTGGTAAAATGGGAAGATACTCCTTAACTCTCTGGGCAATCAGAAGATCAAATGAGATAACAGCATGAAAGCATTTTGTAAAGTGTTAAGTACTTTATAAATGCAACAAAGAGCTGTTTTCCAACTTCACTGTTCCTGTGTTGATGGAATGTCCTTCACTATGTAGAACAATTTCTTCCCTTCAGTTATTTGGGACGGACATCAGAAAGCCTCCTGGGCATTCCCCTAAGAGTCACTGCCTGCGGTGAGCGTCAGAGCTGAGGGACACCCATTCCAGCCTGCCCAGCCAGCACCCCAGCCGGGAGGGAGGGGGCTGACTTCCTCCTCTCAAGTTTTGCTAATTGCATCTTTTGAAGCCCACGCTCAATTCTTCCTTTTAAAAAATGCATTATGCCTTTCGTCCTCAGCTATCTGAGACTTGACCACAGCAAATGCATACCAACCTTTCAAGTTAAAGACCTGTAAGAAAGCTGGAGAGTTCTAGGCCCGGCTACTCTTCCCCACTCCCTGCTTTCCACAGCAGTCCTTAATGAAAACAGAAACCACAATTTGAGAGAGAGAAAAGACTTTGTATCTACCCCTAGAGACGGCGCTGGACGTTCACAGTGACCTCACTTTCCCGCTGCTTCCTCCCTCAGCCTGACCTCACCGTTGCACACCCCTAGGTCTTCCCCCAGGGGGGCGCACTCAAATGCGCACGGCACACGCCCGTAAGCCGGTCAACTGCAGACAAATCTGACTCTCCACCAACTTGTAGCCATGGATAGCTGCAAAAGGACTGAGGTCCTTCACTGTCTGCTCCAAAAAGACACTGCAATCTCCAGCAGCGCCGCAGTAGCTGTCTGTGTGCTGCAGCCTCCGGCTGGAGTTTCAAGTCTAATTCCTTAAGGAGTATCGCTCCTCTCTGCCCTTCATCCTCCTCCCCTGGCTTCGCCCACTTCGCCTCCTTCTCCTCCTCGGGGGGCTGGGAGGAGCCGGGTTACTTTGCCACTTCTGCGAAGGGGGAAGTAGCCGTGAAGGGGGTCCCCCTCCCCAAGTAGACCGAAGCCCACTACTCTTTGTCCCACCTCTCGACTCTCCCGCCCGTGTAGGGCCAGTGCTGCTGGCGAAGGTCCCAGTTCTCAAGGTGCCTGAGCTTAGAGGGGGTGTGGAGGGGCCAGGTGGGAAGAGCGGCGGGACGATGGCGAGGAAGGGCTCGAGGGTGTTAGAGGACAGCTGGGGCGGGATTGGGGAGAAGGGCGAAGGCGACGCACCCAGGCACTCTCCCGCCCCTTGCGCGCAGATAGTAACTCCGGCACGCGCAGTCGGGCCGTACCGGAAAGGCCTTTTCTCCCTATCCTCTCCCTTCTCCTCCCCGCTCCCCGCCTGGACACCTGGCGAAAAAGCAAGGTGCGGGTGTACCTGGAGCGAACACCATGATTTCCTCCAGCCGCTGCGCCCCTAGATTAAGAGAGAAAGACAGGCAGGCGGAGGACGGGAGGACGGCCGGGACGTGGCGGGTCGGGCGCCGGAGGGCGCGCACGGCGCGGGCGGGACGGTCAGCACCTCGGACAGCTCCCGCCGCGCGATCCCGGGCGGCTGCTCCAGCGGCCGCGGCGCCGGCCTGCACAGCGCCCCGCTGCGCCCGCGGCCACCGCGGCGGCGCGAGGACGAGACCGAGTCCCCGCTCAGGGCATCCCTCATTCCGGGGCCAGCGCGGCGCGCACTGCCGCTCGGGGAGCGAAGCACTTCCACCGCTTCCACGGGAGGAAGGACGGAAGAGGAAGAAAGAGAAAGGTAATTGCCCGGCTTCCCGGCAGGGGGACAGCTAATTGCTTCTAATTACCTGCTGTCGCTCGCCCCCGTGGATATTGGACTGACATTTATGATAGGTTTGTCTTTTTTTTTTTTTTTTGTAAGCTCAAAGAGCTTTACTCTCGAGGCCGACTCTGAGTTCTCTGAGTTGGGCTGGCTCTGAACAGAGGGGAGGGGCTGCCAAGTTAATCCGTCCTTGGGGTCCGTGAGTCTTCTCTCGCGAGTCTCAGTCCTCTCTTAACGTCAGGAAGAGAGCAGGAGGGAAGGACAGAGTGACTTTGGAGCGCTTGAGGAGGGCACCGCTCTCGGGCCCAGCTCCCAGGCCGCACATCTGGCCCTGAGAGATCCTAAGCCTGAAGGTCTCCAAGGTCATCACTGTAGAAAAAGCAAGACCAGCCAGGGCGGAGGAAAGAGAGCTCAGGGAGGCAGGTCTCCTCCATCAACAAACTCACACACCCTCTCCGAGAATGAGTCAGTAGAGTCCCCTTCAAGTGTGAGAACAGCTCTGAGACCGATCAAGAAACATCAATGCTTCCCTTGCCCTCACTCAACAGAAAACCGTGCCCCCCGCCCCACGCCATGCGTGCAGTTCTGCCCTAATGGTGCTGGGACAGGCCTCACACTCACTTCATGCTCCTAATCCCTTGCTCATTTCAAAGTGCCTATTCCCCGGAGTAAAGCTTGTGCAGTGCGCACAGCCCACACTAGATGTCACTCAGCTTGAAACAGGTCCATATGGGTTACAAACCCAAAGCCACACAGAGTCCTCCAGCCTCAAAGGAGATGTCAGTTGCTTTGGATTTTATCCCCTATTTTTGTAGCTGAATACGGTTTTCCAAGAACAAAGGTGATTAGGGTCATCTCCAGTGTTTGGGGTTTCATCTCTTGCACTTCTCCCTGGAAAACATAACTCTTCTGAAAATACAGTATTTCTTAATAATTTGCTTGGCAGAGCTGTAAGTTAAACAGTCTTTTGGCAAATATAAAGCGTTCAAATAGCCTCGTTGGCACTGGTTGTGTTCAAAGCCATCTGATAGATTGAAAATGCAAATAGTTTTACAGCTCCTGAACCACAGTTGGGATGGAGGCAGATGGGCAGCCTCAACATAACAGGATCAGTGCTGCTCTCAGCACCTGGCTCAGCACAGGCTTGAGCAGATGGGGCCTGCCTCAGCAGCAACAAGATGCACTGCCACCCATGGGCGGGTTGAAGTGTGTGCATGACAGGAGGAGTCCTCTCACTTCCCCAAGTCACACTAAACGCCTGAGACCAATGATGCTTCACTCTGCCTTCTTTCTTCATCACTCAGGGAAGTGTGAAACACATTTGAAGTAATCTTTGAATGAGAGGCCTCTTTCTTTCAACACATTCAAAAGGGCTCTCTTTTACAGCCCATATTTTTTAATGGGCTTTCTTCTCCTAAGGCATAAACAATTACTCATGACCAAGTTCAAGAAAAAGCAATATGGAATAGGGACAGAAAAAAAAAACCTTGGAATCAATCAGACTCAGACTCAGACTCACCATTTTACTAGATGTGTGATCATGCATAAGTTACTTAACTCACCCTGTCTTGGCTACAATATAAGGATTAAGGTATCTTGAAAGTTTGTTGTGAGAATTACCTGTGATATGGATTAATGGATTAATTAAGAGAGAGCACAGCCCCAATTAAACCCATTCCAAGAAATCACTGACAGCCTGGGAGCAGGTGACATCCTACAGCAGCGGTCCCCAACCTTTTTGGTACCAGGGACTGCTTTCATGGAAGACAATTTTTCCATGGACCAGGGAGGGGGGTGATAGTTTTGGGATGATTCAAGTTCATTACATTTATTGTGCACTTTATTTCTATTATTATTACATTGTAATATATAATGAAATCATTATACAACTCACCATAGGTTGGGGACCCATGTCTATGGGAAAGCAAACAAAACATGTTAGATCAGTACTTCTCAAACATTAATGTGCATATGGATCCCCTGGGGATCTTGTTAAAATACAGATTATAATTCAGCAGATTAGGGTAGGTCCTGAGACTCTGCATTTTTAACAAGCTTCTGGCTAATGTCCATGCTGAAGGTGCTGTTAGTCTGTGGACTGTACTTTGAATCGCAAGGTATTAGATATATCAGCATTTTATAAAGAAAGAAATTGTTTATATCTCTCTCACCCTCAGAGTTTATCTTTTTAAGCATTAAACAAAGAAGGATCCCAGATGGATTCCCAGAGACCACAAAGCTAGACAGTAGCCAAGATGGTAGCAAAAAGAACAAATGCCTGAAAATGGTCCCAGAGCTCCTCAGGCTATTTGATTAGCTTCTTGTGGAAATAAGGGTAATATGATCCAATAGAAACCAGCCCAATAGGTCAAGGACAGAAGAACAATCTCTCTACTCAGCCCCATCCTCAGCTATTTTCTGCCCTTCTTCCTTCCATCATCTCTTCATTTTCTCTACCCAACACTACTAGCCAGAGGACAGTATATTCCCAATCCAGTTTTTGCTTGTATATATTTTAGACAGAGCAATTAATTGTATTCCCAATAAACCCAAGACACTTCAATAATTTTTTTATTTTGCAGTTCATTTTAGCTATTTTACCAGTAAATTTTACATTCAACAATATTATCTTTAATTTTTACTATTACTGGAGTTATCGTTCTGTTAGTTTTATTTAAATACTTTAATAATGCTACTAGATGTTTTTATATATTTAAATGTTAACATAAATTATCAATTTAACAACAGAATGCCTGGTAGGAAAATGAAAGTTTCCTTTTATGCTACCATAATAAGAGCCAGATTGTTTTATAGACAATTTATCCAGTCTTGCCCCATAACTGAGGCTTAAGTCCTCAATAGTATTTCACCCCATCTCTATTTAAACACTTCCACTTAGTCACTTAGGGTGACTCACACTCTACTCTCTACTCAATTGCTTTTAAAGACAGCCGTCTCTCAGTGAAGCAGCCGCCACCACCACCACCTCATTCTGACTTCTAGTGTGGTCATTTCCAGACAGTGATGGGAATAATGATGGAAGCGAGAGAGTAAACAAGTGGGGCAACTTGGATGCCCCAACTTTCTTGCTCTTGTGCTGAGCCTACAAAACTGGGGTGCTCTTACTCCTAGGGATACTTGATAAGGTACTGGGTGAACTAGATGGCACAGGAAGAAAAATTCACCTAATAGAACCTGTTATGTTACCTGATGATTTAGGATAATTTTTGTACAAAAGTGAATATGGATACATTATGAAGTAAAATGCAAAAGTCATATGACATATAAACATTAATTGGAGACTGCAAAGAAATCACGATAGGCAGATTAGGGTTATACCTCTCAGACTTTTTCAAGTTTCCATCCATTCTCTGTAGCACTCATTTGTTCTACTCTGTCTTTAGAGCTTTAAACAAATAAAAAGTTTTGAAAACCCATCCTGAAACATTCCCACTGCCCCAATTATTTGTAGCACACCTTGGCTACACCCATACCCTAATTCTTTCCACTCCATATTCATTTTAAATACATTATTCAATCAACTAATAATAAAAAAATAAATTTTATCATGTCTGGAGATAGTTGACATAGATTGAAAAGGGTCATTTTCTTTATGAAGCATTAAACCCTGTTTCCAAAAGAAAGGGGGAATGAAAATAATGACTATATGACATTAAAAAAGAAATAAGAAATATTAAAAACTTTTGCAGGCTTGAAAAGTATAGGACAATGTCTCTGTAGGTTTGTATTTTATGAAGCAGTTTATAAGTCCTGCAGGACGCTTTAAAAGGGAATACAAAATAGTCACATCTTCTGAAAGTAAAACATCTGCAAAACTTTTTTATTGGAAAAAATACATTAGAACAGTTAAAATTTCACATTACACTTATACAAAATGAATTTTTTCTTGAAAAAAAATATGACTTCATTTGAATACCTTGCTTTCCCACCAAAGAGTTATGTACTCATGTTCACTTTTACAGAAAAGGTTCTCCCAAATCACCATGAAATTATTCTACTGGATGACAGGTGGTGGAAGATCAGCTGAGGACAACATTCAAATTAAAACCAACTTTGTTAGTTTTTAAGGAAAAGCATAAAGGCTTCAACTCACTTAAAATTCAACTCATCTTCAAAATTATGAATAGACATTACAAAACTTTATACAATAAATTCTGTATTTATAAACCTATCTCTTTATATGCAGATTCTACCTTAAGTCAAAGTCAGAAGAGAATAATGAGGAAAAAATTAAAGAGAAAAAGATTGAAAGAAAAGAGGTAAAGAGAGAAATTAAATGAAGGAGAAAGAAAGGAGGCAAGAAATAGAAAAAGAGAGAAAGAAGAGCATACATAAGGGACAAATATACAAGAGACAAAAAAAGGTATATAGAGGTACTCAGAAAATATTTTTTGAAAACAATAGGATAAAGAGAAAAAAGTAAACAGACTATTTTTTTAAGTACAAAGAGGAGAGCCTAAATGCAGTTCAAATTGAGAAATTGAATTCTCTTCTCATATCCTGCTCACTTGGGCTTTATGTCTGAGAATGAATTTAGTCAATATCTTTGGAAATACTTATTAATTTTTAAGGTCTCAGTTCAGAATTGGGAGAGTCACAGTAGACTACACGGGGATTTCAGTGCTGGAGAATTATTCTTTAGGGTATGGTAGCTAAGATCATAGCAAAAATGATTCATTGGTTACTTTTTATCTCATTTAAAAAATCAACTGGTAACATAAGAGAAATTTTCAATACTACAGTAGGCAAAGATTTCCTAGATAAGAAGAAACAAAAAGCACAAGTCATAAAAGAAAATAATTGATAAATGAATTTTATCAAAATTTAAAATTTTGTTATCTGCAAAATGCTACTGAGAAACTGAAAAGGCAAGCTACATACTAGAATAAAATATTCACACTATGTATATCTGACATGTATTTGTAATTCTTGTGCCTCAATAAGACAACAACCCAACTAAAACTTGCCAAACATACACTTCACAAGAGGAATATAATACTAATGGCTTATGAGCACATGAAGACTTCTCAGCATCATAAGTCATCACATAAATATAAATTAAAACCACAGTAAAGTACCAATTACATACCCAGTAGAATGGCAAAAATTAAAAATACTGACAATGTCAAGTGTTGACGAGATATGGAGCAACTAGAGCTCTCATGCATTGCTGGTGGAAATGTAGAATGTTACAACCACTTTGGAAAACAGTTTGATAGTTTCTCATAACATTAATCATACAAATATCGTAAGACTCATACATTTCACTACTAGGTGGTTGCCAAGAGAAATGAAAACCTGTGTTCACACAAAAACTTACACATGAACTGTGACAGTGGCTTTACTTATCATGGGCAAAATGTGAAAATAACCTGGAAGCCCATCAATGTGTGTATTCAATGTGTGTATGACTACACACACAGTAGCATATGCATGCAACACCACAGATAAATATCAAAAGCATGCTGTTCAAAAGAAGCCAGACACAATAGAGTACAGTACATGCTGTATGATTTAATTCATATGAAATTCTAGAAAATGCCAAACTAAGCTATAGTTGACAGAAAGTAGGTAAGTGGTTACCTGGGGCCTGGGGACTTGGGGAGGTAGATTGGAATTGATTGAAAGGGGACACAAAGGAACTCTTTGGGATAATGGAAATGTACTACATCTTGACTGTAGTAGTGGTTATACGGGTGTCATACATACGTCAAAATTCATAGAACTGTACATTTATAATGGATGCATTATTCTTTATATAAGTTATATTGGTATAAAACTGATCTGAAAATCAGTTTGAACAATAGAATACATCTAAATAATATATATATTATAAACAATATATATAAATAAAAATACCCTAAAATTGAATATTTTGAGAGCTAGGATAAACTATAAATGTATGCTAACTCAATTTTCCCTAATTTTTAAAAATCATTTTTAAATATAAAGTAATTTTACATTTTCTCTTCAACATTTTTGAATTATTGTAGTTAGCCAATATGAATGAATGAATAGATATGATACGTTGCAATTTATTTTCAGAATAAACATTGTCCTTGTGAACAAAAATTAAATCCTAAACCCCCAACCAACTGAACAGACCCTCCTCTTGGCCACTG